ATCTCTGGGATTTTTACTCAGACACGTTTACATCGGTGTGGCCATGTTAATCTGGACATTTCGGAACCGAGTGGACCAACACAGACTGAAGGTTGATGTCATTAAGTTCTGCCTGTCCCCAAAACAACTGTGTGTTTATCTGAATTTGGTCGCCTTGGTCCTTGAAGGACATCTTATCTGAAGTCGCCTGGAGAACATGTGATCTGACGCTCACCACCCCCTCCCTGAGGAATTTCCAACTGATAACCAGATGAAACCAGCTGAATAAACTTTGTGTCATCATTTCAGGACTCTTGGATACTCAGGGGTCATTCTTGGCCATTCCTCGACATGTCTCGAGAATGTTTATGGATCTCAGCGGAGGACATTGACTGACTACAGTGACCTGGAGAGCATCTGTAGACGTTGTTGACCGCTCTCGTCTCTTCCTTCTTCCTGCTCTGCTCTGCAGAATGTCTACGTAAATATGTGCTTGTTTGTGCGAGGTGTTTTTTCAATATTAGAGGTTTTTCTCGGCCAAGAAAAAGTCTGATGGGAATTATTTTGCCTCCAACTCCTACATGTGTCCAGTTAACCACTGTTTTTGTCTGTCCAAACAGGTCTCACTTGTAAATGAGTCTTCGAGGCTCAATGTGATTTATCTGTTTAAATAAAGGTTGAATGAACTAAGTATTGATGCTGAACATGCTCATACTTCATGTTCATACTTTTAATGTTCATACTTTTCAGTTGGCCAATGTTTCTAAAAATCCTTTTTTTTAATTGGTCTTAAGTAATATTCTAATTTTCTGAGATACTGAATTCAGGGTTTTCATTAGTTGTAAGTTATCATCAACATTAAAAGAAATAAACATTTGAAATACTGTATATGAGTGTGTGTAATGAATGAATATAATATACAATTTTCACTTTGTGAATGGAATTACTGAAATCAACTTTTTCATGATATTCTAATTTTATGACCAGGACATGTAAAGCTTGCTTCCTGAAAGTTTCCCTAAAATATGTCCAGTGCCTAATTAGTTATTTTGCTAACAGATGCACAGTTGACTTAGGCCCAGACTGACAGACGGATGACTCAGGCCCCTGCAGAATTAAGTTGCTGACTTTAGGAGTGTGCCTTCTTCATGAGCAGAGGGTGTGTGTGTGTGTGTGTGTGTGTGTGTGTGTGTGTGTGTGTGTGTGTGTGTGTGTGTGTGTGTGTGTGTGTCTGTGTGTGTGTGT